TGTGTAGGCGCCGAGAGCGGACAGGATGGCGGTGTGATAGCCCTGTACGTATATTACATCAGCCGGGCGTTGCTGGGGTGACACGTTCTGGGAATCGCCCAAACACCCGAGCTTCTGTTTCTCCATTTTGCGATATCCTCCATCCACCAACGACTGACTTCGTGCAAAGTGATCATGATTGCTCTGAACTAAGCCTAAACTCAATTTTGGCTACTTATTATACAACCCTCTTTTTCCCATCTCTTATTTTCACCTCTCCTATCCACCCTCCCACCCTCTCACCATGGCAACGACCAAGACGCTCGAAGCTCGCTTTGAGCATCTGTCCATGAAAGACGAGAAAGAGAATGGAAATAGTGATCGAAGCTATGGCAAGCAGAAGGTACTTGGCTCAACGCAATCTGGTTGGAGATCCACCTTGCTGATCTGATTTACCAAGGTCCCGGTTTCTTCAGCCCAGTCAAACAGCAATTCAAACCGAGCTCAGCTACTGAAATTGGCTCTTCAAAATAATAATGAAAACAAGGCGAATGCCATGAACGTTGCAGCCTCGCCAGGCAAGGGATCTCACGGCGCATTGGTGACCCGGAGCACCGATGAAAACGGCGACCAGCGCAGATCTTCTTCCCTCTGCGAGCAGCCAACTGTGGCCAAGGAGCTGCACTTGGGAATGTTTGAAATTGGTAAACCACTAGGCAAGGGCAAGTTTGGACGAGTTTATCTTGCTAAAGAACGTTCCTCTGGCTTCGTCTGTGCACTGAAGGTGCTACACAAGTCTGAGTTACAACAGGGTGGTGTCCAGAAGCAAGTCAGACGTGAAATCGAAATTCAGAGTAACCTGCGTCACCCTAATGTCTTGAGGCTCTATGGTCACTTCCATGACAGCAAACGAATCTTCTTGATCCTCGAGTTTGCTGGCCGTGGTGAGCTATATAAGCACCTTCGCAAGGAGCATCGGTTCCCGGAGTGGAAGGCCGCACAATATATTGCACAGATGGCTGCAGCTTTGAAATACCTACACAAAAAGCACATCATGCACCGCGATATTAAGCCTGAGAACATCCTTGTTGGCATTCACGGGGAAATTAAAATCAGTGATTTCGGCTGGAGTGTTCATGCCCCCAACAACCGACGCCAAACGATGTGTGGAACTCTCGACTACTTGCCCCCGGAAATGGTTAATCCTGGCTCCAAGGACAACTACTACAGCGAGAAAGTGGATTTGTGGAGTCTGGGCGTCTTGACTTATGAGTTTTTGGTCGGCGAGGCTCCATTCGAGGATACTCCTATCATGACCCATCGGCGTATTGGCAGGGCAGATATGTCGGTTCCCTCCTTCGTGAGCCCAGAGGCAAAGGACCTTATCAAAAGGGTTGGTATATCTTTCTCCATTATCTATGGCCCGCATACTCACATATTATCTAGCTTCTTGTTCTTGATCCCGCGAAGCGAATCCCGCTCGAGGAGATCCAGCGCCATCCTTGGATCCTCAAGCACTGTGTCAAAGACGATCGAGCTGTGAAGCGGAGTTCTGCTTCTTCCAAGGAGGGCAAAGCATGAAACCTGACTTTGACCTTTACATGGTAGACTTTGGGGGTTCTAGTTTCTTTTTGATATTTCCTCATGTGGAGTTTTGGTGTCTGAGCCTCATGCATTTTCAAGGCGTGTTAGATTGTCTTGGAGTCCAGCTGAAGAGGTACTCTCGATATGGCGATATTTTGATCTTAATTTTATTCTCCGACGTGTTCAATACAACATGGCACATTCAAACAATTCCACAAGAAGCCACGGATACCTATGCTCTCTGAGATATTTGCATCTATAACCAGGACGGAGGACGGAGAATACTATCGGACTGGATCTGTAGTTGTGTTCTTAGACTTCATTGACAATCACCATCATAGACCAGGTATATTTTGATCTCATCTCACCTTTAGTGCTCTCAATCACATGATACATACATAACCTTACATATTTTAACAAGTAACAAATCCGAAAAGAACCCCGGTAGATGGGCGGGAAGGTTTGTGTCGCTAGTGAAACTCATGAAATATAGTACATCCAGACAATATCTATCATACAAAGGGCGAGAATAGTACAACGCTGCATAGGCTGCGTGGTATCATCGATAGATCTCATCAAATGGGCGTGTGTCTCTGAAACAACTATCCCAAACTTCATTGACGACCCTTGTGGCATGGGCTTCGTCTTTACAAGTTGGGCGTGCTCGCACAGAGAGAATGGCTCTCCGTCGGACGCATTCTTGGTGCTGTTGTGTAAGCTTCCACTGACCTCTTCGGAAAAATTCGCGCGCCCATCTGCATTCGCCGCTGAGCGAACTAGCTCGAATCTAAACGGATTTAGCGAATCTCGGCAATTTAAGAAGGGTTAAGAAGACAAGAATGACACATACCTCGGTACAAGCGGCATGCCGAAGATTATCAGACCAATTCACCTTGAACCTGAGGTGATCAAAGGCATGAACCATCTCATGGGCCATGGTATCTTCGAGGTGTCCCTGGTCCTTCATTTCATTTGCGCAGATCAGGATTCCATATTCCGGATCGAAGCCACCACCCTTCCGATCAGTGCAACGACGACAGTAGATGTTATGATTGTCAAGATCGCCTCCTAATTGTTGAATGCTTTCGCTGAGAAATCGAATCGTAGGGCCTTAATAAATCGACCATGTCAGTATCCAGCTAGATAACTCTTAGACAAGGGACTCACTATATTGAAGAAGGTAATCCCGCTGATCCTCACAGCGCTTGCAGTCTGCTTCTTCATTGCGAGTGTCTCGCGCAACACGGAACTGCTCGATTGCTTCGTTGGACATCTTGCCCGTGAGAATCGAATAGATATTGCGGAATTGGGTCCAGGTGTCATCACCGGGAAGAAACCCTGTAGTTTCCGGCTTTCCATTGGAAGGTGCAGCCGCACCTGGCGACTGGGAGTCTGTCATTTTCGATCGTGGACTTGTGGAGAGTCACCCATCACTCCGCGCGATAAATCGAGATCCTCCGCAAATGGCGGTAGTGTACGGCAGAATCAGCACCGGAATCTGGCAAAATGGGCTCTTCCGTGATTCATCACCGCGGGGCCCACAACACAACCGGCCTTTCCAATTCTTTTCGTTTGTTTCTTATTTGTTTATTTGTTACTGGGGGTTTTATTGGAACTGGAATTTGCGCTATGGTGACCTCATCCAGCCTCACAATCGTGATCAAATTGGGTGCGGGGATCTATATCTGTTGTCCGATGACTCAAGTACTGACCACTCGATATATCAGGAACGAGTTCGATTGTTGACGAGAAAACCCACGAGCCCATACTTTCGATCTTGACATTGATCGTCGAAACGGTGACCAAGCTACACAGAGATGGCCACCGGGTTGTCCTTGTATCATCTGGTGCCGTGGGGGTTGGTCTGCGAAGGATGAATGTAGACAAAAGACCAACATATCTTCCACGCATACAAGTATGTCTTCGATTCTACAGGAATACAAGCCCATATAATATGTCTAATGGAAAAGTTGCTAATGAAATCTGTAGGCTCTCGCTGCAGTTGGCCAATGTCGATTGATGAGTCTTTGGGATAATCTATTCTCGCATCTTCGTGTCCCTGTGGCTCAGATTCTGTTGACAAGAAATGATATTGCTGATGTATGTACCCTTATACCTGCCTAGCCCTGTTCCTCCACTGACACTCATTACAGAGAACCCAATATGTCAATGCGCAAAATACATTCGGACAGTTGTTTGATATGGGAGTGATTCCTATTGTCAATGAAAATGATACCCTGGCTGTTTCTGTAAGTAAGTTCCCCTTCGAGTCGCGATCTCGCATCTGACCCAATCATTTCCAGGAAATCAAATTTGGCGACAACGATACCCTTTCTGCAATTACTGCGGCAATGATCAAGGCCGACTATCTGTTTTTAATGACCGATGTCGACTGTCTTTATTCAGCCAACCCTCGAACCAACCCAGATGCAAAACCCATCGAGGTGGTGACCAATATATCCTCTCTCGAGGCTGACGTCTCATCAGCAGGCTCCTCTCTCGGCACTGGAGGTATGAGCACGAAGATTGTGGCTGCAAAGCTTGGAACCAGTGCTGGCGTCACTACAGTTATCACCAAGAGCTCAAAACCAGGCAACGTTCATGATATTGTGAAATATCTACAATACCTCGAGGCTCGGTCAAATGGCGTAGCAGCTGACGACCAAAGTGAGGCACCCACTGCCCCTCTACATACCCGATTCATCCGTTCAGATACCCCGATTCAATCACGGACATTCTGGCTACTTCATGGACTGTACCCACATGGTACATTATACATCGACCACGGAGCTTACCACGCACTCTTGAATAATGCCAATCTTCTCCCGGCTGGAGTCGTCGGGGTTGAAGGCCATTTTGGACAGCAAGAATCTGTGCGGCTAGTGGTTGTTGATCGGCCATCCCCAGATGCCTTGAATGGCGATTTTATCCATCACAGAGAGGAACCTAAGGAAGTCGGTCGCGCTCTGGTTAACTACGGAAGTATTGAAATCACACACATTAAGGGCCACCGCAGCACACAGATTGAGACGCTACTTGGCTATGCCGATAGCGACTGTGTGGCAATGCGAGAGAACATCTCGTTCCACCCCGAGGACCACAAACATACCGTAACACCGTCACTAACACCGGCCTTGGAGGAATGGAAGTCCCCGGAGGCATAATGTTGGCCCATCCGGTACATGCATATCATGAACAGAAGCGAGAATCTTCTTGCATTCAAAGGCATTGATGGTCGATATTCCCAGTCAAACCTGATCGTTTCAATATAAAAGTTACTCGGGATATATAGGCCGACAATTTGAAAGCCCCCAAAGCATGAAATGACCTCCAAAACAGCATGAATGAAAGCACTTGAAAATTGAATGTTTATACGTCAATTCAAGTGCCATGTAAAGATATGAGAAAACAAAAATGTCAAGATGCCTGAAAGCCTATCAATCATTCCAACGGTCCAACCACTTCTGCATTCTCTTGTCCAATGTGGGCGCAGGAGCGGGCGCAGCCTGAACACAAACGGAGGATTAGCTTTCAAACCCAATCGACAACAAGCAAGAATCAAACTCACCGTGTTCTCGATGGTGTTCGCCGTCCATGTCGCAAAAGCTGTATCCGTGTACTGGATGGTTGGCGCACCTAAGTAGCTGGTTGCAATAGAGAACGGGAAAGGCGGGTATTGAGGAGTGGCTGATCTGGTGGCGACAGTAGTCCCAGCGCTCTTAGGCATCGGGGCATATTTGATCGAGCCAGTCTGTTCACCGTATGGGACGGTATGCTGGTCAACTACAGAAACATCGCCAACGCCGCCGACAGCAGCCACTTGTCGTTTGCGCAATTCATTGTGCTCGGCTTCGCCCTTGGCGGTTGAGGTTGGGAACTGCAAGGTGGCTTCGGTTGAGGAACTCTTGGCGAGACTAGAGGAGTTGCAAATTGAAGTGAGATCTGCGGCCTCGATGAGGTGGTCATCGTCTTTGACTGTAGGCCAGGAAATAACGACGGCGGGAATCGGCTGCATCGTCTTGATCGCATTTGTTACTTTGGTCGAGAATGTACCTTTCATGTTGGTCAAAGTGAAATGAGAGGTGAACCCGGACCAGTAGTTATGAGGGCCTGATAGGACTATCTTGAGAAAGCTGATTGGGCCCCAGGGACATTGGTCAGTCACAAAGCGAATTGATGAAGCCGCCGATGTCAGAGGCAAATGAATTGTCTTACTATGCATTGGGTTCATTCCCACCGACACTTTGATCGACACGAAATGACACCATGTCACCAGGAGCATAGGCGCCATTGTTGATAACTTGCGATAGAGTGTCCTAGATGTGTGGTTAGCTCTATGTTTTGCAGTTCCGTATAGAGAGAAACATACATATGAACCTGTTGTCTCATCACCGGCACAGAGATAAAAATTATAAGTTGAAGTTGGTTCGCCATCTAAGCCCCAAAGCAGACTCACGACAGCTGCACCGTCGAAACTCAGATCATATGTTGTGATCTGAGAACTGATCTGGCCATAGACGGCCGTGAATAACAGGGCGACCTGAAGTAATTGGACTCTCATGGCTGATATGATTGAGAAGCACAAGTCTCGAAAGAACAGAGAGTTGTCTCCCAGTCAAGAGAGAGGGAAATCACCCCTTCATAGGGTGGTCTGGTATGTGCATCATTCCTAAGGCCCTTGAGCCCTCGAGGGTTTGTTTTCTATAGACCCGTGATGTGCACTAAGATAAGTGGATGGGTCCGTGCTATCGGGCTTCTCCTGTCAAGGTGTCAGCCCACAACTTTTGACAACTTCCAAACTTATAACCGACAGGATGTCGTCTCAAGCAAATTGGAACTCGGTGACTGGCATAGCTACACTATTGTTCGATGGCAACCTTGTCGCCATTGCTATCGCTGTCCTATTCACCTTTGGTGTCCCGATCGCACTGCATATCTTCTTCTTCCAGACCGTAGCTTCTCCGCCCTCGAGTAATTTCCTACTCCTAGGCCCCAGTGGAGCTGGTAAAACTGCTTTTACGACCTTGGTAGGTTGCAGTCTATGACCTGAGAGTGGCTAAGTTCTCGCTAACCAATCTATAGCTCGAGGCCAAGTCCTCGCTTGCTTCAAACAAGTCACACAGCACCCACACCTCCCAAGAATCAACCTTAGTAACCGTGACCTTACCACCGACTGTCCCAACTGGATCCAACCGCTACCGATCAGTGAACGATCCCTCCTTGAAGGAGGCCGTCCGGAATCCAATCAAGTACCGCATAAGGGATACCCCTGGCCATGGCAAGCTCCGCGTATCGCAAGGAATCTCCGAGCTCCAGACCATGTCCCGGTCAAAGGATATCAAGACAAGGCTACGCGGTGTGGTGTTCATGGTCGATACCGCTGCTCTAGTTGACGAAGTAACGCTCCGTGATACCGCAACCTATCTTCACGACGTTCTCCTCTTTCTCCAGAAGCGCGCAAAGAACGGATCATCTAGCAAGCGAACCACTGATGTCCCTGTCTTAGTCGCCGCGAACAAGCAGGATCTATTCACTGCATTGCCGCCGGGCGCAGTGAGGGAAAAGCTGGAAGCGGAGATTGATCGCATCCGCACGTCGAAGACTAAGGGTCTTCTGGATGCAAGTGCGGATACTGGGTTGGAAGATGAAGAGGAAGAAATTTTGGGTAATGATGAACAGGAGACTTTCAGCTTCAAGCTTCTGGAGCACGAGGTCGGTGTCAAGGTTGACGTGGTTGGTGGTGCTGTCAAGGGTGACTCACAAGAAGAGTTCGGATCTGGAGTGCGCCGCTGGGAGGAGTGGGTTGGTATGTGCTTGTGAGCGAGATGACTTTTTGCTTTCTTGTCTTGATGGTCCGGAATAGTAAATATGTGGTCCTATCATAGTTTACTTGTATATGTTATGCCAGAAAAGAAAAGTTGCACTGAGAAGATTCTAGACTACAATGTGCTTTTTCCATTGATATTGCTAATCTAATCCTAGTGTCTCGGTAGCTTGGGCATCAATCCAATCCTGTATGGTCAATGATATAATATAACGGCGTGAAGTAAACATAGCACTCACCCACAAATCTCGAGCAAGTTTCATATTTCCAGATATCGCGCTGGGCTCACACTGCGTGGCGATAGGCATAAAATACCGACCGCGATGATTTTGCTCCTGCACCTCTCGACTAGTCGCAAGATATAAGCCCGTGGCAGCACCATCCTCCAGACTTTGACCCAGCCACGATCCTGCCGTTCTTATAAGCCAACCCAGGAATCTCCCAAAATAAAACTCGCACCCGAGCTATTGATCAGTGACGATATTGCCCGGAAAGAACGAATTGACATAGATCTGCTGGCTCGCTAGATCTTGATCCTCCTGAAGTCGCCGACTGAGCTCTTTGGCAAAGAGGATATTACCCAACTTTGATCGGCCATACCGCCATACTCCATCGTACAAGGCGGGCCACTTGACGCGTGACGATGAGAATAGAAGATCCAGATCGAGCTTCTGGCACCAACAATGGAACGATGAGCTGGTCACGACAATTCGTACGTCGTTGCTAGGCGTCACGCTGTTCTTCAACAGTGGTAGGAGTAATGTGGCTAGGACTTGGTGTCCGGCGCAGTTTGTCGCGAATACACGCTCGATATTCTAAGATGAACGCTTGTTATCATTTTGAACACTGATGGCTTCATTTAAGGGAGGTAGGTCAATATGTAATGATTCAGTCGAGATGGAGAGATAGAGAGAGAAGTCACCTGCATTGCAAATCAGTATATGAATCCGATCTGTGACTTGTTTTATCTTCTCAATCGCGGCCTTGACATCCTGAATATCGCCCAGATCACATTTGACAAATCATTCTCCAGGGAGAGGCCTTTGCGGTGCCTCCATTCCCCACGAGCAGTGATATATCTGTCTTCACTTCTGGCAACGATGATTACTTTCTCTATCTCGTGCAAGAGAAGCTGAGTTGTGATCTCTGTATTCTCGTTATTATACCCTACAGGATATTCAACTGGCTAGAGGTCAAGGAATCTGCTTACCTTTTCCAATGCCCGCTTGGCCACCCTGGGGAACTTGGTTGCTGGGCTGAGATATAACGAGAGGACTCACTGTCACTACAGCCACCCGTCCATTTAACGGCGTTATGTCTTCCAGGGAGAAGTTCCGATAAGTAAATATTACTGTCATCTTTGGGGGGTGGAATCGACAAAGTCGAGAGGATCCCCAGATGAAGTCGCACATACATCTCTGATCTGAACCGACGTCATCGCCACCTAAACCGAACAGACTTGAAAAAGAACCATGTGTATATTCTCTATGGCGTGCATTAAGTATTGATCACATTAAACGCCAGTCTCTGCGCTGCACGGTCTAGGTATTTCAATCCCACAATGTGTTGAATCCCATTGGGGAGCCTTCATGCCAACGCAACAGAAACGCCTGTTCCCAGATATCAATGTTCAGGAATGTTGAACCCCTACCCAACAAGCAATGTCTCATGCGAATGCATTTCAGAAAATAAACAAAGGAAACATTTTAGGCCTTGTCCGTCTTGGACTGGTGCAGCATCCAAGTGAGCAGGTCGACCTTGGTAACGATGGCCAATGGCTTCATCGCACCACTTTCGTCCTTCTCGGTCACAACTGCAGCGCTATTCCACTCGAAGAAGCGGTTCAGGACGCCGAGAGGGGTATCCATGGTGATCTCGATGAAGCCACGACTCCGGGTCTGAGGCTTGAAGGAGTCTAGGGCCTTGGAGAAATCACGGGGATCGGTGACTACCTCGGAAATTTTTGAGAAGTCAAACATGACCTCAGAGACGGGGCTCTGGCCTGAGGCCCGGCCGTGCGTCAGTCGGCTGAGAACGTTGCCCAGCGTGACCAGACCGACGAGCTTACGTCCGGAGGGGGCAAGGACTGGAAGCTGATCAAAGCCTCGGTCGCGCATGACCTCGATGGCAGTCTCGCAAGGGGAGTTGGCTGTCACGGTGGTGATGGGCTTCAAGCGCAAGGAGCTGACCTTGGCATTGGCCAGAGGGTCAGACACAGGCACATGAGTTTGAGTTGTCGATGCAACGGCGGGAAGCGACGGGAGTAGATCGTTGGCGGCGAGCCAGTCGTCATCGGCGAACTTGAATCGGTTAGCTTGAATGGAAGATCAATCAGGAAAAAAATTGTTCCGACCTTGGAGAGGTAACTTCTGATGCTGTCGGGAAGAATCACAACGATGACATCGTCCTTGGAGAACTTTTTGGCCTCGTTAGCCTTGACCAGAGCCGCAATTGCACTACCACTGCTACCGCCGACCAGCAGACCCTCCTCGGCGATCAGACGCCGGGAGTACTTGAAAGACTCCTTATCTTCAGTCTTGATCCAATGGGTAACGGCATTTTGGTCCAGAACCTCGGGGATGAAATCGTATCCAATACCCTCAACCTTGTAAGGTTCATTGGCACGAGCTTCGTTGAGGGAGGGAGGCAGAGCGAGAATAGAACCATATGGATCGGCGGCGATCACGTCAATATCGGGGTTGTGCTTCCGCAGGCCACGAGCAAGACCGGTGATTGTACCACCGGTTCCAGCACCAGCGACAATAGCATTGATTTTACCATTGGTCTGGGTCCAGATTTCCTCGGCAGTGCCAAGCTCGTGTGCCAAGGGGTTGTTCGGGTTCTCGTACTGATCCAAGATGTGGGCGTTGGGCAATTCCTTCTCGAGGCGTCTAGCGACGCCGATATGCGATTCGGGCGAGTCAAAGGCGGCTTCGTTGGGGGTTCGGATGATAGTCGCATTCAAGGCACGCAGGACAGCGACTTTCTCGGCGGACATCTTCTCTGGGAGAGTGATGATGGTCTTGTAGCCTGAGTAGAGAAAGAATGGACACAATTAAGACGGATCTGACAAGTAAAGCTTATACAATAAATACATACCCTTGACGGCAGCAACCAGTGCCAGACCAATACCACTAATGAATCTCAATTAGCGTCCGCGCCCATGACCGCTCGAAGCGAAAGAGAAGGAAGGAAAAGACCTACGTGTTGCCACTGGTGGGTTCAATGAGAGTATCACCAGGCTTGATGCGACCAGTTCGCTCAGCCTCTTCAATCATACGTAGGGCAATTCGATCCTTAACACTGCCGCCGGCATTGAAGTACTCCAACTTGGCGTAGACAGTAGCATCGATTCCCAGGGTGCGGGGCAGATGGTTCAGCCGTACAAGGGGTGTGTTGCCGATCTGCTGGGTGATAGTGTCCAAAGTGACCGGCGGGGCGCCGGGGGTAGTGGTAGAAGCCATGATGTATGAGTTGTGATAGAGAGAATGTAGCAAAGAAGAAGTTCACAAGTCGAAGATTTCGCCATCGACTTTTGTGCCCCGCCCGATGGTAGCCGGCTTTCTCTATGTGGGCCCATATATCTATGGACTTTGTTTACTTTTGATATTGAGTGTTATAAGGTCATAGGTTATAGGTTTATAGGTTGGTGTGTGTTATATATAGGTATTAGCTGATGGGTTGATCTATTTACTAATAGCTCATATAATGAATGTCAATGGTATACATTAAAAAGTCCAGAGGATTATTTCTATAAAACCCCTAAGCCTAACATGAAAAGGATCAGACTATAATTCAGACTACATACTAGATATGTATTAACATTATAACGTTAGATCAAGAGTGCAGTTGAGGCGAGAATTTCTATTGAAAAAAACATATATACTGTACTCCGTAATTGAAAAAGACGTTGAGAAGACCAAACACATGACGAGGCCGAATTTGTCAGTCTACTCCTCGACTTCGGGAGTTCACCAACTTTCTCTCTTTGACAACCTCCAAAACAGAGATCCACTGGTCTCACTAACTCTCGCTAAAAACCTATTACTTCTGCTAACTCCTGCTTGGCCAACCTTAAGAGCTAGGGCGATCTCTACCCACCACCAATGGTTGATTGGCTAATAATCACCTAAAGGGTCATGTTGATAGATCAAGCTCGACAGGCTCCTACAGCACGCATATCATTGCCCGATTCCATACCAACTGTCCATACTTGACTAGATCATTCGCGCTTAAATACGACGCTTTTACAAAGCCAAGGCCGTGGCTGTGCAGAAAAATGGCCATTCCCCACACACTCAAATGACAATTCATCCCCTGAGAGACAAAAGGACTGAATGCGAATATTATACAGAACGCCAATAATCTGGACAAGAGAGCGAGTATGTCCAGGAAGCCGAGTATATTATGGTAGTACAACTGAGTTCGTCGTCAATTCATTTTATCTACTCTTCTTCTCTAGTCAAATCGCGACACGGGATACGGCGATCTTCACGGGAAAGGCATCATGGAACACATCGTGGCTGCGCCAAGACCTCCTGGCTATCCATATTGAAAGACTCGAGGGCTGATTGGCTCTGTCAAGTGCCAGCGCATCCGACTGTTGTTTTTATTTGCCTCCTTTATACTCCGAACTCCATATTGTATTGCGGCCCAGGCGCTGTATAGTCTTTGCAGTCCCCAGCCCATCTTGCATTTTTGTTTTCTTCTTTTTGTCTATTTCAGCGTGGTTTCTTCTAGAATTTACCGAGTTTGGTCCATCTCTTATTTGATTTTGTCTCACGGTCTGATATTTTGCGTGTGCTTCATCCAATTCCCCCCGAGCTCTCCGATCTCTCCAATCTATACGGAGTTGTTGTTGGTTAAAAATGGGCTCAATCAGGTCGACACATTCACAAAACGCCGATCCCCGTCTCCGTGGGAACAGTGAACAGCCGAAGACGGTCCAGGAGAAGGGCTCCCAGAACTCGATATTGCCCACCAACTCTACCACTTCCAAGCGAGCATGGGCCTTATTTCGCGTGGACACAGCTGGAGAGAGTGGTCGAAGCGGCATTCAACCATGGCATCTCCTCAAGGTATGCTTTAGGAGTGTCTGTACGCTCTCGATGGTCGTGAATATCCTCTGGCCATTTGTCCCCGCCGCAATTGTCATTCATTTCGCGCGACCCGATCTTCACGTCTGGATCTTCAGTCTCAATTATATCGCCATGGTGCCCTCGGCAAACCTGCTCGGCTTTGCTGGCGGGGAGCTAGCTAAAAAGTTACCAAAGATGATAGGCATCATTGTGGAAACAACTTTGGGCGCTGTGGTGGAACTCGTGCTATTTATGGTTTTGTTGTATAACCATGGCCGGACCGAAAACTCGGATCTGATTCCTGTCATCCAGGCCGCTATTCTTGGTTCAATCATGGCAAATCTCCTGCTTTGCTTGGGCATGTGTTTCTTTGTCGGCGGTATCAAGCGTCATGAGCAGACCTTCCACGAAGCCATTAGTGAAGTCGGTACTGGGTTGCTCCTTGTCGCCGGTTTCGGTCTGTTGATTCCGAGTGCGTTCTACTCCACGTTGCGTGGAAGCGTCAATGCACAGTTTACTCTGGTGCAGTTGAACGAATATGCCTTGACGATTAGCCGTGCCACTGCGGTGATCCTTCTCGTAGCGTTTTTGACGTGAGTGGCCTAGGCTCTTGCCTATAATTTAACCACTAAACTCTGGGATAGATATCTTTTTTTCAACCTACACAGTCACAACTCCATTTTCGATGATATCCTAGAGAAAGACGAACACCGCGACGAAGACCGACACGAAGAAGCCGCGAGGGCAAAGCTTACAATGATAGAATGCTTCCTTGTCATCGCCGTTGCACTGACCTGCGTCTGCATGTCCGCTGTCTTCCTAGTCCAAGAAATCGAGTACATCGTGGAGCGCGGCGTCTCAGATAATTTCCTCGGTTTAATTCTTGTCCCTCTGGTGGAAAAGGCCGCTGAGCATCTTACAGCCATCGATGAAGCCTGGGACAACCAGATCAACTTTGCACTCTTCCACTGCCTGGCTCCTTCGATCCAAACAGCACTGCTGAACGCACCGCTTACTGTCATTGTTGGTTGGGGTATGGGCAAGAATATGAGCTTGAACTTCGAGATCTTCATGGTTGTCCTTCTCGTGCTTTCGATTCTGGTCGTTGGGAATTTCTTGCGTGATGGCAAGTCCAATTACCTTGAAGGTGCTCTTTGTGTGCTGGTTTACTTCATCGTCGCTGTTTGCACTTGGTACTATCCCCCGGTGCACATAACCTCGACCAACCAGTCTTGAATGTCGGGTAGTTTCTAAGCGTTTTTGGTCCGCGGATATTTTGCATACTGTATATCACTCGTGGTTGGTGTTTTTGAAGAGTTTGATAGAGGGGGGGGGGGACTAAAGCTCCATTAGATGGTCAGAGTAAATAATGTCTGAACATCAGACAGCACCTAACTAGTCAGATAAGGCCACATAATGTTATATGACCTCATATGAGACAAAAACAGTATGATCTGACCGGTCATTATTCCAGGGTTGTCTGAGGACGCAAGGCTTCGTTCATCAACATCTGCGCATCAACACGCAGCTCAAAGTCGGCCAGGAAACAAAAGCTGATCTCGAGTTTCGACAATTCCTGCGCACTGACTCCACCGACCTTCGCAACCCGGCTATGCGGATAGCTCAAGTCCTCTAGAGCCTTTGAAGCAACCGAAACACCAGCAAGCACAAGCCTGTGCATATTCTTGGGCAGGACCCTTAATACATTATCGACCAGCGTCATCTTGGATATATATACGCTAGCTGCGAGATAGACCGCAGTAGACATAGGACAGTACCTATGCAAACGAAGCAGATACTCGTTCAACGGAATCGGTGGCACCTTCTTTGACAGGAACTTCTTCGCCAAGATAGCCATCTGAATCGCTTCTTCCGTCGCCTTGGCGGGGTCGACAGGATCATCTGAATCCTTAACATGCAATCCGACGATTTTCACCTTGAGCTCATCCTCAACAGGGGTATCAGAAACTAGAGTCGCGGAACCATGCGTATGCAGCTCATCGGGGCTGATGGGTTTCTGAGCAAAGTAAGCGCCTAGCCGCTCAACATTCAAACAAAGCAAGTGTAATGCAGCCTCGGGCGAAATATCAAACACGGCGGCGGGGGTCTGTGACGAATCAGGATCGTCGGCAGGTTGGTGACGGTCAATATTATCCAACGGCGAGCCGAGTTTTAGCATGGTTGGCGCGGGGTTTGCGTTTTGCTTGGAATCTGTGTCTTGGGACACGGACATGGTTGTGGTTTGCGTTACGGCGGTGGCCATGGTGTGCGCGTATGGATTGCTGTCACTGCCACGCGCAGGCGCGGGCTTGATAGGGGGTTGCGAGTAGCGCGCACCTGGACCTTGAGGTGGATGGTAGCTCTCTGGCTGGGTATCTCATTTTCCAATGAGTGGTTTCTGGCCTCTGTAGGGACTTGGGTTCACTTCCTGGCGAATCCCAGAATCGATCACGGGGGAGTCGGGAGAGTTGATGTGATATGATCGATGATGTTCCCTTTTTGTAGAGTTGTATAGCGGGGTGAGAGTGGTAAGTTGTTTGGATCTCTATGCGGAATGAGAAGTTGACCACCAATTTCCAATCTAAATGTTCAGCTCACCTTGAAACCTGATACATATATCTGTGAATAAAAACCGAATCAAGTATCGAGTTAAATTGAATTGAGTTGAATTAAAATCAAAACAAATGAACTTAAGTCGAGAAATAAGGAGAACAAGGCAAAAGGGGAGGATAAGAAAGTCGCCACATGTGACCTTCACCTTGGAATCCATGGACTATACAAAACAAAGGTACAACTTGAGAATCATCACATTTCCCAACCAGGAGAATAAAACGAAAACAAACCCCCTATCTATATATTTAACTAGACTCCATACAAAAAAAAAAGGCTCAGCAACTCCCGATACCTGTCTCTTCTTTTTTTCCAGCAGACTATGAGCCTCCTACTCCCGACACAAGACGCGATCACATATCCTAGCAGACTCTTGAGTCTTATGCCGGGATTAGGGGGTAAAAAATAAACAAGGTCAAATCCGGATTAAACCCATACTTCTGTTTGAAAATGGAAGGAAAGACAGCCTCAGCAAGGGAAGCAGTTTATCCACGAATATCTGCGAATGTCTCGACATGCTGGGTCACAAATGCGAGACATAACGCGGCCAGGGCAACCGAATGCTCGGTTTTAGAACAAGACGCATGGCGCTCGTCTGCGTTGTCCAAGGACACGTCGACCCGAACCCGACATTTCCTGCAATCCACGCTTAACGGGACCCGGTTCGTCTGTTTCGTACCGGCTACTAGCAGGGTTTGAGTCCCAGGTATTCTGGGACCGTGGGCCCCACAAGGGACCCTGTGCCGGAGACCTGTATTCATATTCGTGGCCTCGTGAGGAACTCCGTGAAGACGATCTCGGTTCATACTCGTAACCAGAGTCATCGAACCGAACGTTTTTTTGTGTTCTGTTGTACCGAGGCTGCCGCGTCGACAGCCGCACATTTGAATCATATCTCCTTCTAGCAAAATTAGAGGCCATTTCATAGTCCGGGGGATCAACCACAAAGAGCCTGGGATAAGCTGGCGGTGCATACCGAGAACTGAAGTTGCCAACAGGCTCTGATCTGTAAGTTGGATAGGAAGGCCGGTACTTCATATCTATCGAGTGTGGGTATGTGCGCTGCCGTGTTAACTATCTTGAATTAGCTTCTTGTTCTCGATACTCGGTGGAACCCAATGATATAACTCGAGGGCAGTGGAGTGCTAATAAATGATTCATGAACAATGCATCTGGAGACAAAGACATCCTTGAGCAAGGGAGTTGTTGAAGGAACATGGCAGAGAAATGAATGGAGATCGACGAACCTCGTTGATTACAGCAGCACGCGCGAATTGCCGGGCACAGTATGCGTAAGAGGACATGTGAACAATGGCAAAGCAGATTCCTTTCAAAGAGTAAAGATAGAGAAGTATTGATATATTTGGATCGAGACAAAGAAGACTGGACAAAGCAAGATCGTTTGATATGGATTAAAAACAAAGATCTTTATGGCGAGATATTGTGTTGATTTTATATTAAAGCATTTTGACAATGAACAGGGATTTGAAGGCAACATCTGCTCGAAGAGAGGGGACCTATAATGAAGTTATTAAATGTTGATATTTTCTGTCTCCAAATAAAGAATGACTGATACAAACCTGAGGTCACCAGGGCGCAGGTCAACGAGTCAGCGGCTTTGAAGGCCAGTTGCCCGGTGACAAGATTCGTTGAAATTCGACAAATTCCCTCCAACCTCTTCCATCACACCAGAAATGTGGATTTTGGGAGTTTCATCTCCGAAAAGAGGTCCTATATCAAGAAGTGATATAGTGTGATTAGCAGGGTGTTCCAAAGTGAGGCCCAACTTGAGGAGCGGCAAGATACAACGGAACGCCTGTTATTGTCCATATCATAACCAACACCGACTATTCGGGGAATAGTGTCCAATGCCTTGTACAATGGCTGGCATTACTGCCTAGAATATTCACTGCGCAACATTATCCAGGGGTTTTAAAGTCACGGGGAAGGGATCCTTCAGCCACACGCCACCAAGCGTCAAATCAGAGGTCAAATCACTTTGGCGCTAAAAGAACCCAACGGCGATTAAGAGCCAACCATTGACACCTTCGACAATGAGATCAGACAATATTTCATGCATGAACGCTCAGATCCATAAAAACAATGGAACCGTGAAGAAAAAAAAAGGAACTTGGCTTGGGCAGTAAAGCTTCGCCACGATTCCTATGTCCACCTCTCAATTAATCGAGCTTGATTGCTATCACGGTGGTGGAGAACATCCAAATTGAGCTTTTGAGCCCCATTTTGAAGACTCGCGAGTTCTTTCTCGAGGCTTGAGAGCGCTGACTCCTCCGAAGGATCGCGCAGTGATGTTTCATAGTGAGAGTTGGCGTGCAATGAGTAACGAAGAAGCTGGGATGCATTATCCAACGGTGCCAAATAAGTCAGCAGAGGAGCGTCCACCGCTATATTAAGACCGTGCAGTGTTTCGGAAATGTGATAACGCTTCTCGTGGAGGTCACCAACCCCTCCATTCTCGCGCGGATGGAGGATTGATTCCGGTGGTACACCAACACGCCTCAGAAGTCTTTCGAGTGACGGTTGGGCAACTACAGGCGCAGTGGGCGTGCGGGGGGCAAGAAGGAAGCCTGGCTGTAACGATCGGCGTCGCAGAGACTCTCGTCGGGATGATGGCTGTGTGACGAGTTCGCTGCCTGCTTCGGATTGATATAACGCGGCTAGCTGTTCTAATAGTTCCGAGGACGACTCCCGGACTCCGAGTTGGTTTGTAAGATCTTGCTTCGACAAAGTCATTTCGATCAACATGTCGAGTGCCTAGAAGTATGAATTAGTTCATTGCTGGTCACTGACACTGCCGAGGTAGAGCCTCATACCCGTTCTAGTTTCTCCTGCGACACCACTCGCAGCTGATCATGCTCGTTCTGGAGTTCACGGAGGATAGGCTCATGGAACTGCTGCCTGGTCGACATTTCTGCCAAGATTTCGATCTCCGGATACAGAGACTCTATTTCTTCCTCGAGGGCAGTGTTCGTTGCCTCATACGTTGCGTCGGAATTTGAACCGCCTCCGTGAATTGTTTCCAGATATAATCGATCTAGACGGTAGTGTATTTCCTCCGCCACGTAGCCTGAGAGCATCGCACTGAGATGATTTGTGCGCTTGACCGTAGATGCATCGTTTCCACGATACTTGATATTAGACATGAGCGTTTCCAGATTCGCGAGCGCCTTGTCGTCCTGCTTTAACCGGGTAGACAGAGAAGCGAGTATTCTCTTGCTTTCCGCGCCCGACTTATCCGTTGCGGTCCTGAATTCAGCCTCCAACTCACCGACAAGCTCGATTGCCTACGTAGAGTCAGGATCAGCAACACGCGACGGTTGGTTGTGACGGGCATGCCCCTACCGCCATGGTAGTATTTTGTCTCCCCGCTTCATGTTTCTTTTGCAGCCGAGTGATATCTCGGCTCCGCTGCAGCTCCACATTGTTTTCCAGACCTAATTGCTTGTTGAGACTTGCACATTGGAGCTTCAAAGCTTCGGTCTGCTTTTGAATTGTTGCCGTTGAGGCTTCAAGGGACTCGATGGCGTTGCGGAGTTCGTCTTCGAGGATAGGCCGTGTTGCGCCGAGATCTGGGTTGCTGATAATAGGCTGAAGAGCGCCGGAGTTTACAAGCTTAATATATCTGTTTCCAGTTAGTTCCGTCTTCTGACTGATGGTGCAAATAAGACGTACAACGCGAGCTCATCTTTTGATAGCAGGGTGTCTGGACGGAGATGCTTGGCCGCCCATTGCGCGTTCCTGTCATCCTCAAATGACGACTCAATCACCTCCCGCTTGGCTGGGATATCTCGATCCTTGAAAATTGATATGAGTTTGTCGGTCAAAGTGTCTTCCATTGTTGGCTTGAGGAGTTGTGATGCGAAGACCTGATAAACAAGGAGCTCTGAGAGTGGAGCTCCGATTTCTCTTGGAGTCCTTTGTTGAGACCAACACTCTCCTAGGTATATCTCCACAATACTCTTACTGATGCATAATTTATCTTTATTATGAATAACTTTTCTAGTAGGAGCTATAGAATTATATTCTGTATGAATTCAGAAGTCTTTAGTCGAATCCTTTAGGATATAAGCCGATTAAAGAGATAAAATGATGGATATAGTTTGAAGGAACCTCTGTTCCTTTGGGACTATTATATATATCTCTCTCTTTCAGCCCTTGTTTGTCCTTGGATAAAAGACATTTCATTTCAGCAGGCAACAAATCTTGAACGCTCGAGTATAAAATAGGTTCATCCCACAGGGTTCTGAATGTATCGCCATCGACTCGAGCTATCCAACTAAATATTTCTAAATTGACCCCTTAACACTAAAATCAGTAAGCATCTCTTGTACTAACCACCATCATGGATGCAACAACTCTGCAGGCCGCGCGAGAATTTTTCGCCGACTCGCGAGATGATTTCGTCGTATATATCCAGGAACTTTCTGCCGGAGATATCTCAGATCAGGGCGCCGCTGCAATCCAAACCGAGCTTCGTCGTATAGCCCACACACTCTCTGGATGGATGGAGCTTCGAGATGATCCCAACGGAATGAGTTGCAGCTATTTTTCAGAGCGGTGCTGCAACCTCTCAGATATTGTTGTAGAAGTCGCTGAGATGGTCACTATCAAGGACGGACAGCTCCCTCCCACAGTTATGAAGATGTTCGGTATGCTGGCTATACACTTAGGACGACTTAATCTGAACGGCCATCGCGAAGAGGACAAGTATGCGCGGGGCTTTGATCGCATGGCCAAGGATGAAGATCGTAGATGGCAGATTGGATCCCAGGGACCGGATGATGGTAGAGCTGAACTTCTTTTGGGCTTGTGGACTCGTATGAATCGGATTTCAGAGCCTGGTCCCAATTGTACGTTCGAGTGCCTGCGTGCACATGCGGGTTCTCACATTTTATAGGTCGATGAGTATAACGACGAGGGTATAAAGATCGGCAGAGCAACGGAGAAAAGAGGCCGAGACTCAAAATGCGGCTGCCTGTGGCTGAGTAATCAGGCAAAAAAGGGAGCAATCAAACGTGGATGTCAAGAACAAGACAGGAATATATTAGAACTGTTTCAATTTCATCGAGTACAGCGTACAAAATACTACGGAGTAGGCACAGTATAAGTGTACCTGCGACGTGTCTCTCAATTAGCGTCTCCGCAAATTCGAGTCCGCCTTTTTGACCCTCACCAATCTGTTTACCATTACCATTCATTCACCACTCACCACTTACCGTTACCTTTGACCATCTCTACAACTTCCGAGCTGCGCTTCTTGAAAACTTCCCCACTCAGTGGATGCGCCGGCGACGGAACCGCGATGTTCCTTTAGACTACCGCCGTCTCAAAACAATCCAGTCCTCGAATCGAGTCCCTTTCCAGCCCCCGGGTGGCATTCGATACATATTCAACAGTAGACAACCCGAAAATGTCTGCCAAGCCCTCTTTAGAATCCCTTGGCCCCAGCCATGGCCAGACCTCCGGTTCCACTTTCGCCTCGAATGGCAACGGGACAGCTATTCCTCCAAACGACGTGGAGATGAAGAGCTTGCGCCCTGATCCCCCTAAGGGCTCAATTCCTCTGGGGGAGGATATCATGCAGTTGGCTCGGATGGGGGAAGTTGGCACTATGCAGAAACTGTTCACAGCCAAAAAGTTCACCGCAAACTACCGTGATGAGGAAGGAATTACACCGCTGCATGTTTGTTACAATCTAGCGCAACAAACAATAGGGATCTGTTTACTGACCGCATTCTCTCTTTCTAGTGGGCGGCAATCAACAATCAATATGCGATGTGTAAATTCCTGATCGACTCCGGAGCCGACGTCAACGCCAAAGGAGGAGAGTCGGTGGCAACACCAGCCATGTGGGCCGCCCAACGGTGTCATTATTATATTGTGAACTTATTGCTCCAGAATGGAGGGGATCCTCTCCTGACGGACGTCCAAGGATATAACATCCTACACCTCGCGACCATCGACGGCAACGCGTTCCTAGTCGTGCTGCTTTTACACCAGGAGATCCCCGTGGACGTTGTTGACCAACAAGGGCATACTGGACTGATGTGGGCTGCATATAAGGGGTATCCTGCATGTGTAGACTTGTTCCTGCGATGGGGCGCAAACGCAAACGCCGTGGACGAAGGTGGCTTGACGCCGCTCCATTGGGCGCTGGTTAAGGGCTCGATGCCTTGTGTCCTGAAGTTGCTCGAATACGGCACCGACCGCTTTGCAAAGACCCGCGATGGAAAATCACCTGCGACTGTGGCGCAGGAAATGAACACCCTGCGGGTTTGGTACCACTCGCTCAACGAGCGCGGCTTTGAACCCGATGGCACCCAAAAAGTGGTGCCACTGGGCCTTTCCAGCTTCGTACGCAGCAAGAGCATCATGGCCAAGTTCTTCTTCCTTTGGCCTTTTTTGATGATCCTGATTACCATTTGGATGCTCAGTAGCCTGGCGATTTTCATCGCTGTGCCCCTCGTGTTAGTTACTGTCTTCGGGATGCAGTATGTTGCACAGCAATTTGCGAACAAGGGGCCCATGGAATACCGCGTTCTTCAAAAAACACCGTATCTAGCTGGTGTCTTTGCTGGCACATTGTTCTGGGTTGGCTTCCGCTATGTCTTCAAGGTGCTGCCGGCAACATACTCATCGTCGCCGATTCTGAACATCTTGTTCGCAGTCTTCTTCTGCTTGACTGCTTATTTCTACGTTTTTGCCATGGTCGAGGACCCGGGCTATGTTCCGAAAGTGAGCAGCAGGAATCAGCAGAGAGAGGTTGTTAAGGAACTGTTCGACCAGTGGAAGTTCGACGAAGAGAATTTTTGCATTCCCTGTATGACAAGAAAGCCACTCCGGAGCAGGCACTGTCGGCGTTGTGGGCGCTGCGTTGCGAAACACGATCAGTATGTGTCTCGATAAGTTTCTATTGATCTGACTACTAATGCTTGAATAGCCATTGCCCGTGGATTGACAACTGTGTTGGATCGAACAATCTCCGCCATTTTGTTCTTTATATAGTCTCCCTCGAAGTTGGTATCATTCTGTTTGTGCAGCTGACTATTGCCTGTGAGTACTAGTGGCGAAAGAAAATATTGGCTAGGATCAGTCATCTAACATGATGCAGATATCAATTCCCTACCTGCTCCCGTCAATGCCACTTGCAATGTCATCAACGACACATTGTGTGATTACGCCACTCGCGACCCCTTCACCCTGATTCTTAATGTATGGATCACCCTCCAGCTGGTCTGGGTTACGATGCTTTGTGCCGTCCAGCTCGTCCAGATCTCTCGCAACCAGACAACCTACGAAAACATGCGAGGCCACCACATCGACCGGTCCTACCCAAGCACCCAAGCCTTTGCGTCGGCCATGACCGCTGGAACCACATCAATGGAGGCCGCTGGTCTTTCGGCTTCTGGACAAGGACCAAACCCGGCTCTCCGCGGTTCTCCCGCACACCGACGGAAAAACGGCTGCATCCAGCAATGGTCATCCCTTCTCGGAGTCGACGCTTTTTGGACAACTGCGAAGGATGGTCTCCGCGATGGACCCCAGGCAACTAGACCCCGCAACCCCTTCTCCCGCGGTGTCGTCACCAATTGTCGTGACTTTTGGTGTGACCCGGCTCCGCTCTTCGGCAAGCGCCAGACTGGGGTGGCGATGCTCGGCGGCGAGGTGATCAACTATCATGATATGTACGAAACCCCGATGCGCATGCGCACCGGCAACCGGTCCGGCGAGGGGCCTGGCTACCGCAGCGTTGCTGGCGAGGACCCCGAACGCATGGTATAAGCCGATCCGAGATCTTAGCGTATTTGCATTTGTTTTCGATTCCAGATCCTGCATTGATATCCCTCTACTTTGTGTTTTATTATGCAAATCAGCGCGGTGTTGCGTTATTGGGCCACGTGGCACGAGCAAATGTTTGCATTTTGCATTTAGAAAAGATCTTGTACAATTGACGTCAGATATTAATGATTTGTTTCACTATACTATTATGGGGGATGACTTGGCTCTTGAGCAGCAAGACTTGACTTTGACTATGGGGTATACATATATGACACCCACTTAGCATCCAAGGTCCTCAACCTCCAACCCCCGCAGTTTCACATTTCGCATCAGATAAGATAGATCGTCTCGGCCGTGCAGTGACCCTGCAGGCTGCAGCTAATCACCAACACACTGCATAAGGGCCGAATTCCGGACCTTCCCTGTGCGGTTCTGGAAAGATACCTAGCTAGGAAGGGTAGTCATATTCCCGTCCGAAGGGACCGATTGGTTCGTCCAACTGAGTCTAGGTCTAGGTCTAGGTCCAGGTCCAGGTCTGTACATATGTATATGTATTGAAAGGATTATGCTTTACATTACGCATTACGCATTACGTGAGTATAAAAGTACCTGCATGGAAGCTCTAGAGGTGCATATGCCAGCGCACACTAATCACCAAGCAAGGAACCTTGGCAGGGCTGCAGCCTTTCAGGGACAAGCAATGTTTGACGGCCGAGGGTCCAGTGTGGCCTGATCTTCTCGGTGATGCACTTGCTAATAATGTAGCGGTCAACAACCGCAATTGGTTTCTTGGCTTATTACACAAGGTACTCTTACTGTGCTAGGGCTGTCACCTCCCCAAACTTCCCTAGACGCTTCCGGAACAGGCAATATATACAATGTTATTATACGGTATAGGGTCCATTCAACGGCTTTCAAGTATGGAGCCCGAAACAAGTCCGAATCATAGTACGATCTGAAACCTACCTCGGTATGGAGATATGGAGACGAACGACAGGAGCAGGGAGAGACGTCAAATAGTAGCTGTTTCCTGTACACATCCGATATCGCCGAAGAAACAGCCGAAAGATCTAATCTCTCGGGTACCGGCCCAGTCCTATGGAGACACGAGCCATGTGCATGGGTCTTTGGTAGAATACAGTCACTATGAAAATTAGACAAATCAGGTACATGTATGTCGGCTAGTTTCTTCAGGGGACAAGGTACGATCCACCTGTAACTATCTTTTTTTTTTTATATATTGCACGTCGTACGATGCACATGGAGAGGGCTTCCGAATCAAGGGAATAGACAGAATAAGACAGAATTATAAAATTAAAAAATACCATAACAAGTGCGTATGCAGGCTCCATTTCGCTAAGACTCGACTAGGCAGGTGATGGAGCTTGAGGAAGCCACTTTTACTTACTCCATAGTGCGGAATTGCGAGCTCTCATGAATTCTACATATGTTGCCCACATGAAGAGAAGGTACGGTCAAGCCTAATCTAATTAAAAAGGAGAAAAATGAGAAGAAGAAACCTAGCCATATAAAAGATCATATAAATCCAAAAAAGAAAAGAATAAGAAAAAAGAATACCCGCCAAGTCCTCGATCAGATAAAAATTTTCAAGTTATCTGATCCATGCAGGACCCACTTGGATTTATCTGATTCGACGTGATTTATTCAGCTTCGGAGACTGGGGATTCGTGTTGACCCAGGAAATAAAACAAAACGCCAGCTAAATCGACATGAACCTACACAACATCGTGCACAAGCTATGCATCCTATTAGCACCATCTAGGATTGGGATCGGCACGAGTTTCGCGCGACTTCCTGCATTTCGTCCAATTGTCCCGCATTCGCCAAGGAACCATTTTCTTCTCAAAAGTTGTTTGTGACCGTAACACTTCCGATCGGGCAACTCCACTTTATAGGTCCGCACACATGTTTCGGTACTGGTTACTTTACAGGGATGATTCTAATTGCCTGAAGATCTGGGCCGATCGGTTCGTACTGTGGGTAGACTCGGAAATGTGAAGAAAATTAGAAAACAAGCTCATCATTAACGCAAAGAATAGAAATAAGAAAAAAAGAATCTAAATACACAGGATGTCTAAATGTTTTCACCCAGAATAGCGAAGGGAACTTAGAACAGCGAAGGGAGGGGGAATCATCGAGCTGTCTCGCCGGACAAATTTTAAAATCTCGGCCCACTTCCCAAAAGCAAACCCGAGACACGTAACGACGATCATGTCACATTTTGTTTCACGGCTCTACAGCATAGCACGTACCCGGGTGTCCTGCACCACGGGAGCACCAGCCAACTGATCCGCAAAGACGGAGCCAACAATCTCGCCACTCCGCACAGCCAGCACCGACAGCAAAGAATCACTCAGACCGTGGGTCTGCTCGTTGCAGCCCTGCAGCCAGATACCAGCCTGGGCACTGACCTTGGCACTGTCGAGTGAAACACGGTAATCGCGGCCGGGGTTCCAGGCCGACGCGCCGGCGGGCCGCAAGCTGCGCACGTTCTCGAGGAGTTCCTCGTGCGCGTCGCGGAGGTAGCCCGTCGCAACCATCAGCGCATCGACATCCAACACCTCCTTGCCCTCATTCTCGTTCTTGACCGACTTGACGTGGATGCGCATGCGGTTCGATGCGTTGTGGTGCTCGATCCGGGCGACCTTGGTCTCCGCGAGGATACGCTGCTGCCACTGTGTCTCGTCTGGATTCTCCACCCGTTGCAGGTACATGTCGTTGTAGATGGACTCGATCAGCTCCAAGCGAACCACGCTGTAGTTGGTGGCTTTTTCGATCGCGATGCGCTTCTTGCGCTCTTCGGCGCTCATCTCGTAGAACTTGTCTACACGCTCGGGGTTGAAGATCTCGTTCACGCTAGAAAAAAGCAAAAAAAGCAAAGGTTAGCTGGGTTGTGGTACTTTGGGGCTGTGTATTTGGGAGGAAAACATACAAAGGAGAGTCATCACCGGGACGCAGAGCGCTATCACGCAGGATGAGGGTGGTGCGCGAGTTGGGATAGCGGCGGTGCAAATCGTGGTAGATCTCAGCGGCACTTTGACCACTGCCGACGACGGCAATGTTGTAAGGGGCCATATCGTCAGTCAGCATCTGGGGCAGGTGAGTGCAGTACTTGGAGGAGTGCATGATGCGGGGATCCTGGGGGAAACCAGGAGGCATCTTAGCCTTGCCACCAAGGGCAATGACGACCTTGCGGGAGTTGCGGGAGGAGATCTCGCCAGTACCGGTGTTGCGCGAGACGACGGTAAAGAAGTCAACAATACCACGGGCATTGGTGGGACCGGGGACGACCTCGACGACCTCCTCACCGTAGTTGACGACGTTGTCAAAGTGCAGGGCACACCAGCGCATGTAGTCCTCAAACTCTACACGGGCCGGCAGGAACGTGCCTAGATTGGTGAAGTGGATGAGACGCTTCTTGTGGTGGAGGTAGTTGAGGAAAGTGAAGGAGCTGCGGGGATCGCGCATAGTAGCCAGATCCTTCATGAAGGAGATCTGCATACGCGAGCCCGGAACCAGCATACCCGAGTGCCAGGCAAACTGATTCTGCTTCTCCAGGAAGCAGACCTTGGGCTTGAAGTTGGGGTCCTTCAAGGCACCGAGGGTAGGGTCCATAGCGTCGTTCAGGGCAATGGCGACAGCGAGCGACGCCGGGCCGAATCCCACACAGAGCAGATCGTGCATCTCCCCGGCGCCAGTTGGTCGCAACAGCGACCGAGCTGCCTGGGGCTGGGTACGTGGCACCATATCGAGGAAGGAGAGCTCCTTGCGGGTGACAGGCTCCATGACGATTCAAGAGTTTTTAGAGTAAAAGGTAAAGATAAAAAAAGGTTAATAAGTATGTGTATGTATAGACCACCGGAAAGGGAAATCCCAGAGCTTCAAGGATGAGCTTCCAAGGTTTTTGTTTTTGGTTCAGAGCAAAGAAAAAGAAACGGGAAGGAAAAAGGCTTTATATGGTTCGGAGACGAATGTAGCGGATCAGATAACTTGACCAAGTGGATCCGCCTGAAGGTTCTCTGAAGCCGCTGAAGCCTCTGAAGCCCTTCGCCTCGGGGTTTTTATTATTTTTCTCTGCCAAGTTTTCGTATTTCCCTGGTTCGGGGTGTTTTTTTCAATTTTATCAATTTTATCAATCAGTAAATTTCCCGTTGGTCTCCACCGAGGCAGAGACGGCGATGTTTTATTTCCATTCGGGTGTATTTTTCTTGTATGTCTTATAACCCGGGGCTCAGATGTATATTATACTTCTAGTACCTTGGATTAGAGACTCCACTCCATATGCAGGAAGATAGAAGAAGAAGAAGAAAAGGTTCGATGCTTCATGCACGCCTAACTCGGTCAACCAGAGCGCAGCCATTTATAATTCCTCGAAAAACCCAAAAAAGGTCTTACGGCCGATGTCGGGAATAATTGGACATCGGAGGCATGTCCGGAAAGCGTTATTGTACGTATTCGCATGTGTATATAACATGTGTATGCACGTTGTTCTTCCTCTTGGCAACGCTTGGGACTCGTTTGCAGTGGGGGCACATCCTGGAAAACTCCTCCGGGCTATAGCCAGTGGTTAGGGCTTTTTGCTTTTTATTATTATTTGTTTGACGCTTGGGCAGTGGGAAGTGGAGGTGACAATGATATTATATGAGGCTATTATTGCTACTGCCATTGTATCATCCGTATTGATATGTTTCTATTTACTGTACCTAATACGTCATTCATAACCGGACACTTTCACAGATCCACAGCTGTTTCAGCGGTTGAATCAGCCGAGTGGTGGGGGAACGTGGTCTGATGATTATGCGTACATTTGAAATTTCGAAGAGAGAAGGTGCTGGATGAGAGAGTAATAGAGTCATACAGAAGAGAAGAATAGAACTAGGAGACTTAGTAGAATCATAGGCTAATATTCTTTTCCGCGCTTGGCTCGGTGATCATAGGGGGGGGGGGGGGGGGGGGGGGGGGGGGGGGGGGGGCGGGGGGGG